CAGGAAACCTTTGCAGGTGTTTTGAGTTGATTAGCTGATTGGCATGTCACCATATTCTAATTTGTTGATATAGTGAATTGGTGGGTTTTTGTTTGTGAGCCAAAATCATCACAATTAACAGAACCAAAGACTTAAACTACTTAAAATCTCCACCCCCTAGATGTGGATCCAACCCCGCCCCCTGGATCTTTGTTCTGCAGTGAGGGGCTACTGAAATAAATGACAACAAAATTACTATTGAACCATAGTTGCAGTCACATTAATAATCACTGTTTGTTGTTAAAAGGACAGAACAATATATGAATTTTACAAACGCAACAAAGTATTTTGGTGGAATTTGAAACTATGGTTGCCAAGTGTTGTATATTACTGCCTTAAAAATAAAAAAGTATTACAAAAATACTACTACTGCTAATAATAATAATAATAATAATATGATTTTTTCAACATTAATACATTTTTTTTTATGACGGTCGTCATGCCAACATGTTTAGTACACAGATGAACTTGGAGTCAAACTGCTGCTGTGTTTTCAAATCGTGGAACTTCTGGCTATCGTTTGTTAGGTCGTCCGTTTCCCGTTTAAAAATAAAATAATTTAATAATATGGCGGTTTGTTTGGTGCCGGATTTCCCAGCTGTAAGGATTGCCTTAGAGCATTTGGGCGAGTTAGGTAAGAAACTGTCTTTGTAGGCTATTTTGTGAACGCACGAATTAATACGCCAACTAGCGGCAAATACTTCAAGAACACAGATTTCAATATGAAGCCATCATTATCGATATATGAATTATATAAATTGACCTCTAATTTAGCCTATCTGTGAAGTGATAAATTCTTTGACACCTTACAGATAAACGACTGAGGGAAGAAGGGGTTTCATTTAGTCAAGAAGCAAGTCACCACCTGAGAGAGACAGCTGAAGCCATTAAAGAGCTGGTATTTTCAAGTATTTACATATTTTTTTACTTTAATCATAAAATACATGGGTTGTGGGTTGCAAAAAATGGGTAAAATATTCAGAATATTTAGTATATATCCAATGTGTAATTTCTGTTACGCAGTCATGTCCTTTATGTATGTCCTTTAACATTATAAATTGTATAAATTATGAAATTCAGAATTTTAAGAGATGAAAATCATATCAAATTGTTTCTTTTGTCATAGTTGAGTCAGTTTAGTTTGACTAGATGTTGCCATTTTGAGTGCAATCCACAACAGGCTACCATCTAACAAAATAAATCTAAATAAATTGGTAATTTCAGGCATTTCTTATTATATTCCTTTCTCTAATCAAATTGTTTCAAACTATTTTTTTTCTATTCTAAATATTGTTTTAACTGATAAACACTCAAACATCAATATCACTTTATATCCTGCTAACGGTACACGTTACAGACTTAAAATGATACTGCTTGACAGGAATGACCCATGTAGGCTATGTGTTCATTTCACTGTGGCATTCGTATTTAGGAATTATCTAGAAAAATAGCACGCGAGAAACTTGAAATTGAAACTATTGAGACAAGCAAGCTTCGACATCGAACAATGAACCTAGAGGATGACATCAGAAGTGAAATATCAGGTGAGTTCCTCCACAAATCCTTGGAAAACTGTTGAATCCATGAAGTATAAGTCTAAATATTGGGCCATCTCTGGCAACAACTCACCTGTAGCATAATGGTGGTTGGGAAACTGCTCAGGTAACTTCTTAAAGTTGTTTGTTGATGTTTTTGAAGCTTGTGTCACTGCAGCGAGAGAAGACAATGCTGCAGAGATTAATCGACTTCAGTCTGAGCTGAAAACTGTAGTAGATGACATACAATCCATGGAGGAGAAGCAACAACACATTGAACAAGAAAATGCTGCTCTGATGTGAGTATTCAAACATGTTGACTGAAGGGGGTCATGGGAAATGTAGTTCACATTGCTATTTCTACCATTTACCTCCCCCATACTCATTAAATCTGAAGTGCATACATTATTCAGTGCAATTGAAATAATTTAGGGTAGGACTATCTTTTTTTCTGACCAATGGCAGTTGAGGGGAGTGTTTGAGAAACCTGTTTGAAAACAGTCATTATTTTGTTCGGTACCACAGAAATAACACACAAATATGATAAAATACATGTTTAATTCTTCCTGTAATTATATTTCAGTCGGGAGAAAGAAAACATTAAAGGAAACTATGAAGATGATGTTGACCAGATGAATCAGCAGCTGTCAAACAAAGCTAGTATACAGATGATGTTAACAGAAAAACAGAATGAGATTCAGTCACTGAAGGACAAAATTGTCCAGGTGAAAACGGCCCAACAGGACCTAAAAGAACACATGATTCAGAAGAGTAAAACATTTGCTGACAGCAAACATGCTGTGGAAATAGAGGTAGACTGAGCTTGTTTGTTTTTTTTTTTCAAAACAGGATATATTTTCACTCAAAAGCTGTGATTCAGTTCATATTTTCCCTCTTTAGATAGAGGAAATTGCTCTTAAGATTAAAGAACAAAGAAAAATCAATGCAGGAACACGCAAGGAGCTGGATATCTTTACATCAGAACTCCAAGACAAGGAGGAGACAATCACACAGTGTAAAAAAGTAAGCATCTACATACTTTGTACAGTGTCTAAACAATATTACAATAATGTTGGCATAGAACGATTGGTATGGCTTGCTTTATTCATCTGGTTTCAGCATATATCCCAGATGGAGAAAAACATCGCAAGAATGGCAGCATCTAAAATTATGTACAAAGAATGGCTTCATGAGGAGAAAAGTCAGAAAGACGAACTTGATCGTCAAACGTAATCAGTGACTGGTTTTAACATCAAGCAGTGCTGTTTCCTTCACCTCTGGTCAACAGAAATCAGCTTTTGTTATTCATAATCAACAGGGAGTCTCATGAGCGTGAACTTCTTGAACTGGCAGAAGCAATTGAGCAGAAAGTTCAGGTCCTTCAGGAGCAGATGGTGGAGGTAAGTAGAGGTAGACATCTTTGTGAAACTCCTGACACTAAACGAATGGATGCTCCATAATACACTCTTTTCGGACGGGATCAAAACCCTCAAATCTCTGTCTTTAGATGTCAGATCTGAAGCATCGATTTCCTGCCTCTGGCCGGTACCGCTGAGCACCATCACATTGAGCTTTTAAAATGCTTTCCTTCAAAGACACAATGTGCATAGATGACCTTTAACACAGCTGAGTGCTGGACTGCCCTTAGATGTTAGATAGTTCAAGCAGTCAATAGATCTGCACCTGGTCTGGATACATGAACATCTATCTATCCATATATCTGTCTAGGCTACCGACGGTATACGGTGATGCTGGTTATGCAAGATACAGGAGGCGATTACATGTCAGTGTTAAAGGGGTCATATGATGCTTTTTTAAAGATCATTATGCTTTTGCTTTCGCACTGAAACACACAGCGTCTCCCTGACATGGCTGCTTCAACACTAACTGCGGTTATTGAAACCACGCCTTCTTTCTTTGCATGAACATTTGGGCAGCATTATGCAAATATTTCCACATAGTGAGGTAGATATGTGGGGGCGTGTTAGAACGAGCCGTTTTAGGGGGGCGTGGCAGAGTCTTAACTTTGATAAAGAATATCTCTTTGGTTTTGAGACTTTAGTCTTTGCAACTTCAGGGATCTTATCTATGCACAATCAGCTTGTAACACTCCAAAGATAAAGGAAAACTTGAAATCGCATCATATGACCCCTTTAAAATAAATAAATAAATGGAATATAAATAAATAAAAATGACAAGAACACATAATAAAATAAAATGGTAATATTAAAATGAAACTGAAAATATAAAAATACAAGCTATTTCAAAATATAAAATACTATAATAGTATATAAACAATACTAAATAACACCGTTACCAGTGCAAAATTGCATATTGGTTAAAAGAGGAAACATTATGAATGAAGCTTGCTTAATAAAAATAGTTTCTTAATCAATAACCTAAATAGAATAGCCTTAAATAAGGTATAATCGACTAATAAACAGTTTGCAGCTCATTCAGTTATTTAAACAATAAAAGTATTACTACAATGAATAAAACACCACTATCTAGAAGAAGAAGAAATATTCTATATCTGGTGTTGTAGAGGTTTGGAGATAACTCTAATTTAAATTAATTTTATTTTTTCAGTTTAATTTTTATTTTTATTCATTCATTCATAAAGAAGAAAGAAAGAAAGAGAGAGAAATTCTCTGTCTGTCTATTTAAACTTCATGGTAGTATTGATTGTACTGAATTTCATTTATTCTGATTTTAATAAAACAATTGGACAGGATGGTTTTCAATATCAGTGACATTTTAATGACATTTGTGGAAGGTGCTTGAATGTCATGCAGAAAACCTACATTTTAAGTATATGTTTTTTAATGCATATTAAAATATTTCAATATATAATATAATGCTTAATATTAATTTATTATTTTAACATTGTATAATATTTCATGTAACAGATCTTAAATTCTTTTGATTTTGGGGATCTAATCCATCCCTCGTTTCCACCGAGAGATGATGGTGAAATTTAATCTGGGTCTAAATCCGTTACCTAACACTGTAAGGAGCTGTGATTTCTTCTCAGATTGAATATGAGATAAAGGAAGAACAGAAAGTGAAAAGTGCTCTATCAGAGCCCCTCGCTAAACTGTCAGACATCTTCAGCACTCAGAGGAAAGAGGAAGATGATGTGATTGCTGAACAACACAGTCTGTCCAAACGGTACATTCGTCTCTTTAATACTCTTTCTTCTTTGCTTTATCATGATGACTAACTTGAAATGTTTAGATTTCAAGTGATCAATGTGTTCCTTTGTTTTAGGTTAGAGGAGAATAAACTGAGACATGATGAAGACGTTATATCCATTGCCAAATGTAGATTTGAAATCAAAAACATGAAAGAAGAGATGAGACAGCTTCACGACGCTAACATGTATGACCCTGTCTTTTGTTTTATGACTTTGTCTTACTACATTACAAGTAAATGGTTTCATACTGTGTGGTTGTCTCTCAGAATCAATGCAGATATGTTCAAAAAAACTCTGGAGGAACTGGAAGGTCAGTTGGCCAAACACAACACGAGCAGGTCTGTTTAACATCTTATTTGAATCTTTTATGATATATCTTCTACAGGGAACTAAACTGCAAAATGTACTTGAGAAACAAAATTGTGCACAATAATAAATAAATAATAAATTCATATACCCCAAATAAACGTAGTACTGAAAACACGAAAAACAAGCAGTTTATCTTGAATAAAGCTTCTCTTTGTTAAGAAATTGGCATTTTTTCTTTATAAATTAATTGTATAAATTAATTAGTATTTTTTTATTATCATGCACAGTTTAGCTAACAAGACAACAATACAGTTAAATTTTTTAGAGAGAAAAATCAATGCATTAAAAACTGAAATAATAAAATGCATAAAACAGATAAATCATTCAGCAAATTAACAAATAAAGTTTCAGCTGGTTTAATTCATGTTTAAATGTGGTTAAATGAAAAAATAAATGAATAATGTTTAAAACGAGTTTAACTTGATCTACATATGTCACACTGAGAATTGTTATTCATCCTCAAATCATTGTTTACATGGTCATTATCACATTAACATTTTTATATCCAGGGCAGCGGTTGAAGCTGAGAGAGAGAAAATAGATCAATCTCGCAAAACCCTTAAAGAGGAAAACGAGGAGTATGTAATGGAGATCAATGCAGCCATCGAGCAAACAGAGAAGAGATATGGAGAGCTGCTTGATGAGGTCTGACAGAAACACTAGACAGTAGTGGTGGAAATGCAAAGAGAAGTCACTGTATCTAAGGCATGTTGTTGTTTTTGTAGAAGAAGAAACTCCAGAACCATATATTATTGAATTTGGTGATAAAGGATCTTGCAGAAGAGCTGGCAAATTTAGAGGAAGTGGGAAAACAACTGGAAATGAACTACCAGGCTGAAATTCAACATCTTACAGTAAAAGAGAGAATCCATATTCATACACTTATTATAGGCTCAATAAAACATTTCAAGAGGGATGTGGTTTAGCTAAGCGTGCATCTGAAAACTAAAAATGCATGTCTTGTGTCTCAAAAGAGGGATGTAGAATCAATCACTCAAGCTCATACGGAGAAAGAGCAGGAGCTCAAGGACCAGGAGTCGATTTTAGAGACGGTGGAGTCTCAGTTTGACATTGACCACCTCAAACATCAGACTTTAAAAAAACAAATAACAGGTACAAACTTCATTTCTATTCTCCTCATGTAGCTCAACACTGCACCATACCTGAACTATGGAGTCACGAACTGGCCACCTGTTGTTTCTCAGCTAGCGTTTGCTTCTTTATGAGATATGATTTACAATATATAAGTGGGTCATTCTATAATTGCAAATATGAGAAATGAGAAAGAATACAGATTTACTTTTGCACTGTAAATGGATGTTTTTGACAGTTTCGCATTGGCAAATTCAATGGCATTTGTAGGATACCTGAACTTCTAAATGTTTTTTGTAAGAAATTTGTGTTTTTCTTTTTTACCAGAGCTGGTAGCCCAAAGAAAACATCTTGAGGTCTCCATTGAGGAGGTCACAAAACATACTGCTGCTCTCCTACAACCAAAGGTCAACATTAACTAAGCATTTTCCAATCGTGTGCTAGTTTACTTGATGGCTTTAGTGTCCATTTGTATGTTTGTAGGAAGATCTGAAAAGAGAGTTAATGACTTTGAGGGCCAAGCATATGGAGATGCTAACTACCAACGCTGCAGTGATCAGTGAAGTCGAAAAAAGCATCTATGAGAATAAGGTCATGCTGGAGCAAGTTACGGTGGAAAACAGTCGCCTGCATGTGGTGAAAACTCACACTAATCAGCACAAAGACACATACCCTTGTTAGCACGCCACTTGAGATGTTTTCAACTGTGATTTTCTTTTTTCAACAGCGCATTGAACAAATGAAGGAGGAAATATTGGATGCAAAGAAAGACAAGGAAAAATATATGCAAGAGGTCGAATGGATGAACGAGGAAGTGCAGTCCCTCTTTAGTGAGTCTTCTGACAATGACTTTTAACATTTTAAAAATATTCTGCTTTTAGTATAATGATCCAGAACCAATAATGTCTCTTTTCCATTCCCAGAGACTCTAACAGATACCTGGAATTCAAATATGCTGCTTAATGAGGTACAAGAAAACTTCAAAACACAATACAGTTAAGGAACGTTCCTGGTTCAATATAAATGATCTCAATCAATAGCACCTGTGGAGTGCTGTCAGTTATTTCTCGGTTTTTATAAAATACAAAACTGTGTGTAGAGTAAAGCACTTACAAAGGAAGTCTAATGGAAGCGCTTCCTGCTTTTAGAATTTCCTGTAAAGTGAGGGATGCCAAAAATATTTTCCATGGTAATTGGCAACAGATGTTATTCATCAAGATTAATGCAGTGAATCTAGAACGCTCCTTTAAACTGATGAACTTGCATGTTTTCTGATGTGGCTCTTAAAAACCTTTTTCTGAACTTGATGTTTTGCTGAAGGACTTTATCAGATGTTACTGTACAATAAATGAACTAATCTGGACTCTTTTACATTAGAAATCTGCAAATCAAGACCAAAAGATTGTGGAGAACATATACAATCTCATAGTGAGGATTCAAGAAAGAAAACATCACGTCAGCGACATCAACAACAGACTGGAGAAAGAGTTAGTAGGCATGAGCTCCGTGTTAGAGAAGCCAAACTTCAAAAACACTTAGATTTTACATTAATATGGAACAATATCTTCTGACATTTAACAGCTATTTTACAGAGACTTCAATAATTAAGAGCAGGTTTTAAATATTTAATAATAATTTTAAATGGATGACTATAGAGAGTAGGGTAATAAGGTTTCATTTGTGAGCATTAGAATACATGAACTAATGAGCAAACTATTTTCTACATGTATTAATCTTTGTTAATTATATCACATCTATGCGAAAATCTGTCACAGTTTATTCAAGTCAAACACAGCTGACAAACATTCATTTTCATAGATCTGATGGCAATGAATGTAAATCACCACCATGTATAACATATACTACTACATGTAGAATAAAACTGTAAAACATTAATATCTCTAATCAGTTTGTTATATTCCACACTTCACTGTAGAACGTATAAATATACATCCTTAATAAGAGAAATCTTTAATCAAGTTGTGAGGATGAGGGTCTGAGAACATTGAAAACTACATAATTATTCTCACAATACAATGTGTATGCAGATTTACATATTCAGCAGCAAAACAATCATATAATGCCACATGCAAATTTGTCACAGCATACCTTTTATAGTGTTAAGCTTTTATCCATGCATGAAAACAAAGCGTGTAAATACATACAATTATTTTTGGCACAACAAAGTTTGTCATATGAAAATGGTTAACATCAGGGCTGTCAGGAGATTCACAGACCAGCTGTTTCATATTTATCACACACAAAAAAAATACATTGTACATTACAACAAATTGTTGATTTGTTTCTATTCTTGACAACAGGTACAAATCACAAAAAATACCAAAACTTAAATGAGTCATATATACTTAAGTTACCATAAATTTACAAAAACATCGACTACTACTTTCCAAAATTCGCTTTCAGGATTCAAAGAAAAACAATTAGGTAAGAACATTCTTCATAAAGTATTTCATTTGATCTCTGTTCAATACACGCAAACAACAAATAGTATTAAAAGAAAACTTTATGGCAACATACTATATCATGAGCAATGACTATGACTCTTTGGTGTCCTTGCCAAAGGTGTCATTAAATTAAAAGTCTCTAACGTGAGTTTGAGGGAGGTGATTCTCCTACACAGGAAGTGACATCAGTGTCCATTCCCACCCTCTGCCAGAATTCTGTTTGGCTCTGTGAACCTGGCCGTCAGCAGGTAGAAGAGAGCAGGTCCAGGCACCAGAGCCAACAACGGCAAATCCTGCCCCAGTTTATCCAGTCGGGATATGGAAATGATACCATATGCATGGAGGAGCCAATGGCTGAAGAGAACCACGAGGCGTTTCTTCTTAGCCACAAGGTTTTTGAAAGACTGTGGGAGATAAGTCACAAAGAGTTTTAACACGTCTTTGAAAATGAAATAAAAGGCATTATGGGGGAAAAAAACAGTACACAATGTATTTACCTGTATCTCCGAAGCTGACATGTAAACTGCCAACGTGACCAAAGATAAGACCAAAATAATATATGGAAATGCATAATCTGATGAAATAAGAAAGGGAAATACAAGTGTCAACCAGAGATATTAGAATTAGCTAAAACTAAAACCATAAAAAAATGTTACTTGAAAGACAATAAACTTTAACTGAAATAAAAAAATAGCAATAAAAATAAAATGTATAAAAAAAATTTAAAAAAAAGGAATTTTATAAAAGCTAATAAAAATAAAACTACTAAAACTGTTACTAACTTTAAAATTAATTTTATTTTAATTCAAAAATAATTCAGATTTTAATTTCAGCTAGTTGCTGACTTTCATTTAGTTTAACTTAAATAACTAAAACTGAAATAAAAAGAATTAAAAAAAAAAAAATCAAAGTGACAAAAACAACAAAATGACTAAAATTTTAAATCAACAGAAAATTAAAACAGAAAATATCAAAATAATTAAAGAATCAAGATATTATTCTAATCTATATTAGTATCTCAGTGATAGTAAAATAATACTGATGTCAACTAGGAACACTTTCAAATGTTCATTAAAAAAGAAAAGAGTGACACTCACAAAGAAGTCCTCCTCCAACTGCCTGCAGGACAGTGAGGATGGGGAAGAAGTACAGCGCTGCATAGATGCTCCTGAAACGATCGGTCTTGCCTAAACCGCACGCAATCTTTTTAACCAGAAGTGGCCGCAGAAGCATCATAAAAACCAGACAGAAGGCGTAGTAGATCAACACGATGGTGTACCTAAAAGAACAGGTCATCAGAAAGCAGCAGAAATAACTGGTGTCTCAAATCAAATAAAATATCATTTTGCAAAGGCCACTCACAGAGGGAACACAGCCTCCTGCGTGCAGTGCAGAGTGGTGACGTAGTCGGGACTGGGGTTGTACAACATGGTGTACCAGTCAGAGAGCACCTTAACCTCACAGGAACGAATAGACAGTTGGCCGACAGGATCGTTGAGAAGCAGAGTCACTATGGCAGCAGCTGTGCACTCAAACAGAGCGGTAATATGCTGGAAAAGGGCACTAGAACTGGAGATGATATTAAGAGAGCATAGGTTAGTTTGAAGCTCACGTTAAAAAATGCATTATTCCAGTTTAAAGGGACAGTCCACCAAAAAATGGCAATCTCATTGTCAAACCTCATGTCATTCCAAACCTGTATGAGCTCCTTTTTTCAGCGGAACATAAAAGAAGATATTATGAAGAATGTTTCATAATCAAATTGTATGAAACAAAAAATGCAATGGAAGTCAACGAGAACAGAAACTGTTTGATTGCAAACATTCTTCATACCATGCTTCTCAAGAGAAATGTGATTTCTGTGAGTCTGAAGTCCCCCTTCCACAAATGAAGGCATTAAAAAGGTCATAAATCACAGCTGAAACTCTTAAATTCATAAAGCTATGGCATTAAACGTTGCATGCGCTACAAAAGAAGAAAGAAAAATAATAATCTTACTCAGTATTTTTGTTCTGTTTGCCAATACAAATATCTAAAAATGCATTTGCTTGAGATGAAAAGTCTTGTTTTCTGAGAAACTAAACAAAATTAATCGAGTTTATGCGTATTACAAGAACAAACATGTCAGCGGGGTATGAAAACTTGTTTTCCCTGTAAATTAAGTGGATTCTTCTGAGCCCATTAGCAGATATTTGTTCTTGTTTAAATCACAAACTCACTTCATTTTGTTCAATTTTTCAAAAAACAAGACTTCTTATTTTGTCATTTTGCTTCTCAAGTAAATATTTATCACTTTTTTGCAGCAAAGGCTATTTCCATATTCTAATGAATTGCTACAAGACATTTACATTTAGAGACCGTATTGATTCCTTACATTTTCTTTACTTGGTCTTAAATTTACCTTCATAAAACCTGCAGAAACCCTGAAGAAAGAAAAGCATAAAGGTGTGGAAAGGCGAGTAAATGATGACACAGTTTTCATTTTTGGGTGAACCATCACTTTGAGGGTTAATATTGCAAAACAAAACACAAACTAATCAGATCCGCACAATAATATTGCCACATATATCATACTATTGTTTAGAACAAGAAATTCTGCCGGCTACCTTTTCTTCCCAGAATACCACTCAATAAAGAACCAGTGCAGGACCAGAGGCAGCATCGCCATGAAGCCCAGGTACAGCCAATCATACAGCTCAGGAGATCCGCTGCATTCCTCACATATCTTTTCATAGTTAGTTCTCTGGCCACGAGGACAAACCTTGATAATAAGAGTGATGGAGGTTATTATTAAACCCCAAAATATTAAATCCAGTCCACAAAACACCACCAACTCTCCAATCATACATCAGAACAAGCAGAACTGTTCTCGAATGACCAGGCGATTACTGTTGCATTACACTCTTAAAAATATAAGTTTACAAAAGGGGGTTTTTGCAACAATGCTATTGAAGAACCTTTTTTAAAAGAACCATCAGGTGCTTCATGGAATCATACACCTATAAAGAGCCTTTATTTTAAAGAGTGCAACTGACAGTAGTTCTCAAATAAATGAACTTTTCCATGACATTCTAATTTATTGAGACGCACCTGTACATGTGTAGAACTAAAAGTAAAACGTATAATAATAAGGTCTAATTTGTTATAATAAGTTCATTTGTATTAACTAATGTTAACAGATTCAACATTTGATTAAAAAAAACATTAGTATATGTTTACATTAATATGAACCAAAATTAATAAATGCTGTAAAGGTTTATTCGTGTTCATGTTAACTAATGTTAAAGGGGTCATATGATGCGATTTCAAGTTTTCCTTTCTCTTTGGAGTGTTACAAGCTGATTGT